GTAATCTCACGAAATGAAATATTTTTGCATTTAATAAAATAAAAATGAATTATAATAAAATGACAATGTAAATTAAATTATGATAAGATGATGGATATTATGAATTTATGATAACATGGCGTAAATTTTTTTTATTTTATTTAAATTTCAAAATTAATTTTATTTTTACAGATTATACAATTCTTTATGGGGATGAAAATCTATTTACAAACCTTAATTATTCATAAGGATTAAATAAAAAATAAGCATCAAATATTCTTTTTCTTGATAACTAAATATGAAATATTCTGAATGTAACCATATCAAAATTAATTTTTTTGAATCAAATTACATTTATTAAAAAATTATATCCTAGACAAGAGGGATATTTCAGCGACACGGAAATTTATTGTGAAGCCAAGAATCTCCAGATTTTTTCCCGCGCCATCAAATCTCGAATTACGATCACTTTCGCATTAGCAGCTTAAATTCTAGCCATTTTGAGTGATTCATGAACAATTCTCACTCCATCTCTACCCAGTACTCTACATTAATATTAATATATTCAAGATTTATTTTACTTTTTGGATTCTTATATACCTTTGATTAATCAGTTTTACAATGAGCAATTTTTTAACCATGTTTTTTTAATAGTAAAATACTACTTCCGATTCATAATATAGGAGTTAATTTAACATTCAATTTGTTCCTAAATATAAGATCTCAATTTATATTGTTTCTCATATTTATCTATTTTTTTAAAGCAGTTCTTACTTCTTACAGTAATTGTGCATGTTAAATGTTAACAAAAGTCATACCTATTTTAGTTATTTTACAAACTAAAATTACTTTTCAAATCATAATTCAAAATAATGCTACATGATAAAAATTGGTCTTGAACTAATAAGCTCAAGAGAAAAAAATGAATACTTAAGCTCGACTCATTTCAGCATGGGTGATTATAATGAAAATACCGTCATGAGAAAATACATCTCTTAAATTAAAATCTAAAAAATGTTTTTTAATGAGACACAAAAATAGGTAAATTGAATTTTAAGAGTTCATAAAATCATGATATGCCTCCAAATTTAAAGAGGGTTTATGAAGGTATTTTTATAATTCAAACCGTCTACTAATAAAACCCTCACATGAATCTGACATATGTTACAAATACTTTGACACTTGTAGTTTATTATATATGGATGGTTTATCAAATCAAAATTAAAGGTCACATTAAGAATTCAACAACAGGCTTGTACTTTGTCTTTATGGTATATACTGCATTAATTACATTTAAGATAGGAAACTCCCTTAAGAGAAAGAATTCGCGCAAGTAGTGATGTTAATACTAATAATAGTTAACGCACCAAATGCAACATAAATTAAGTAGGTGTTTAAATTATTTTACTTTAGGTTACGCCCATGAATTTACTGAAGGTAAATATAAAAACATAAAAGTACAAATTTACCCCGGAACTTATTTTTCATATGCATCTAGTGTCCTGATTTTTGTAGCGGTGTAATTTTAACCATGATATTTTTTGGATACAATTTTACCTTCAAGACTAAAATTGCATCCAAGGATCAGGAGTAAAATTGCACCAAAAAATAAGATCAGGTTCAGAATTGCAAAAAAAAAAAAAAAAGATCATAGATAAAACTACGCCACTAAAAAAATCTAAGTGTTGTTGAGTACACATAGAAATAAGATCATGTTACCCAGTATAAAAAATTTACTCATCTACTCCTGCTTTTAGGGTAGAAAGATAAAAGATTTTTTGGTCATATTTATACGACAGTAAGAGAAATTTTTTATATGAATATAACGTACAATTTTATTATTTATTTATTATTGTATAGATTTTGATTACATGAAATATAATATATATTAAATAAAAATAGAGCTAAAAATTTGTTAAATTTTAAATAAAAATTAATAAAATTTAAGATTTTTTTTAATTTACATGATTTATATTAAAAGTTATTTATAAACAAAATGGAAGATAAATTGAAGCGACCCGCTTAGTCTTGGATGACTTCAGCCCCTTCGTTTTGGCTCCAAAGGACACAGAGCCACGCAAGATTATAATAATCAGTATTAAAAAGAATTATAGTAATAAATTATTAATGATTGACAACACGGCCACGCCTTAAAAAATTATAAGAATAAATGTAACAAATGAAAATACTCAAAATAGTCATAGTAACTAATTATAGTAAGTTAAGAACATACTGCTGGTCAAAAAAATAAAAATAAAAAGAAGAACATACACACTGGGACACACAACTAGGTTCCCTGGGCAGTCCTACCTTCGCAAATTTCGAAGCACTTTGATGCTGGAGTTTAGGGTGTGTTTGGATTGGCGGTGGAGAAGTAACTTTTTTTTCAATCTGACTTTTCCAAAAGTCAGATTGAGTAAAAGTCAGATTGGGTAATGTGATTTATGTTTGGATTGGGTTTTAGAAAAAAGTCAGTTTGAGAAGCTGAAACTTGTTTGGATGATAAATGTAAAAGTAAGTTTGAATGTAAAATGACTTAAAAGGACATGAATTCTATTAAATAGCACATATCTAATATTAGATGTTTAATTATTAAAAGTGAAGAAGTAAGGAAAATAAAAATTATTAAAAGTAAAAAAATTTACTTTAGTATTATAAAGAAATTATATATATAATGTGACTATTTGTCATAAATAAAGTAATGAAAATAAAATTATTAAAAATAAGGAAATTTAATTTATTGTTATAAAGAAATTATATATATAATGTGACTATTTTAAAAGAAGTATTGAAAATTTTTTTATTAAAAATAAAAAAAATTAAGTTATTACTAGAAGGAAATTGAAAAATAATAAAAAACTTAATTAAATATATGTAATGGATAAATATGTAAATTAGAGGTCATACATACGTAGCATTTTTAAACTAAATACATCAAATAACTAATTGGATGCCATGCTCAATACAATTTGGTCTCTGATTGTGTCACGCACATGATTCATTTGTCTTGATCTAGGTAAATTTGAAGAGGATGTCTCACCAGCTTCATCATGATTGTCTTCGTCAATTGTACCTTCAGATTGAGCTTCTATGAAATCTTTATCAGTTTCAGAATTTCTTCGGAGGAAATTATGTATAGCCATTGTAGCACAAACTACTTGGACTTGAGTTTTATACTTGTAACTTGGCATCTTCTCTAAGATGCGAAACTTATTCTTCCACACCCCGAAAGTCCTTTCTATAGTGCACCTCAAACTTGAATGGTAGTAATTGAAGACTTCGTTATAATTTTCAAATCCCGGTTGTCGCCTGAAGTCTGGAAGGTGATAGCGCTCACATCTGTACGGACCAAGATATCCTGGTGGAGTTGGATAGCCAGCATCGACCAAATAATACTTCCCTAATAAATCATGAAATTATGTTGACATTGTGAAATTAATGAAAATATCAAATGAATTTGACATAATTAAAACTGAAGCTACTGAAAATATACCTGGAGGTGGATGAGGGAAATCCAAGGCTGGAGTTGAGACAGCAGTGTTAAACACACGAGCATCATGTGCAGTACCTTCCCATCCCGCTAACACAAAAGTGAAGCACATGTCCCAATCACATACAGCCATGACATTCTGTGTCGGATATCCCTTTCTCCCGATATATTTGTCTTGCTTTGAAAGACTCACCACACATCGTACATGAGTGCCATCAATTGCTCCAATTGCATCATTGAAATATGGCGAATATCGTTTATCGTTTTTTATTTTTGGGTGAGTTACAGAAAACGTAGGATCGAGTGGTTTGATGTATTCCCTGGAAAGACTAAGGCAAGCCTGTAATACTCTATGAAAATGCCTGCTTACAGTTTCTCCTGAATGTTGAAACCTTTCTTGAATCATCCTATTACATTGTCCATGACCTACCGTGTTCAAAAACATACCAACAATTTCTTCCACTCCCAGATACTTAGAATTTTTTAAACCATGTTCGACCAGTTTAGAGCATAATCGCATGAACATTTCTTTTTCCATTCGAAACATGTCATAACACCGAATTTCATGATCTCGCAAAATTTCTTGCACCCATAAATTACCTGTTTGCTGACTAGTTCTTCGTGGCTCTTTGCACACATAAGGCATCACATATTGACTCACCAATACAGCTACCTCTTCATATTGTGTTATCTCTTCATCTAGAAGGGAAATCAATTGAGACTGTTCATCTTCCTCCGACTCCTCTTCAGACTGTTCATCTTCCTCCATCCACTCAAACGTAAATTGATTGTTCCAATTTGCCATAGATAATGTCACCTGTGAGTGTGGTTAAATTCAACTGTAAGAATTTTTTTAAACGACAAATAAATATTTTTAGGTATGTGCAAATAAATATTTCTTTCTGTTAAACATGCAAAGACATAAAAATTAGTCTAAAAACATTCATAAGCTGCAATTACCATTATAAATAACACATGTAACTTAAAAACATTCATAGTCAGTTAACAAGTTACATAATTTCATAGTTCCACAAACATTAACTTAAAAACATATAATAACAACTCTGGTCCGAGTTAGACAAAATAAAATCATAACATGCGTCCTAAAATATAGTTCAAGCAGGCGGGGGTTTCAGCCATGATGGTGGATTGTATGCCATATCCTGTAGCCATGCAACCAAGTATTCCGGCTGTCCTTTTAGTGAAACAACCATTTCCCGAACACTCTTGTGCAACAGAAGTCTTAAGCACCGGTTCCGGAAATCAGAGTCACTTGTAATTTCCTCAAGGCAGAGCACTTCGGCCGTAACCTCAGAAATTGATACCTCTTTTATTTTCTTAAGAGTTGCAGCTCTATCCTTAGATGCAGTAGCTATTTCACTAACTGAATCCGCTATTTGTCTTGAGGCCGGAAGTTTTTGCTTTTTTTGCCTGCTAGACCCTTCACCTCTCTTCCTCTTCCCATGGCTTCCTGAACCACTAGGTGCAGTATTTGCTGTTAAGTTTACGCCTGCCATCTCATCCGTAACTCCTACACTAGCACCTCCAAGATCTTCTTCGCTATCCCCCGATCCTTCAAGGAGATCTGTATAACTCTATACACATTCTCTTCATCATCCTCTTGTGTCTGAGGTTGGGTTAAAGACGGTGCCAACATATCCTCTCCAGATGCTATCACACCCTTGAATATCGTGTTTAATTCATAAGCAAACTTTAACCCCTGGTACCTAAACTTTTCATATTGGGGATTCTCCTGCAAGAATACAATCAACAAAAATAAAAAGCCTATAACAAGTAATAACACAGTTTATAACTCAAGATCAACAATTATATACCAGTTTTTTCTTCTCCCACCACTCATTTGTTGCCACCACTGTATTGTTTACAGGGTCCCAACCTACACCAGTCTCTTTGTTTAAATCAACCCATGTCCTCCAATCCTTCCTCAAGCTATCGAGCCTATTTTTCAATTGCTTCTTCTCATAAGATTTTCCTGTTTTTGCATTGAATGCAGAGTGAATGTTGTTCCACCCAGTCTTTGAAAATGATGTTCCTTGACGATTTTTCCGGTAGATTTGCTCCATGCATTCTTTAAGTAACACCTCTGTAGTGCTTGTATCCCATGTTGCCTTACTTTTTTCTTTGTTCATAGTTCTATTAAAAAATGTCAATCAAGAATGCAAAAGGGAGTTACAGTGAACCAGAACACTTTTCTTCCAACAATGCAGAAATATTATGTTTATTTTGTAAATAAATATGACAGGAAATATCTAATATATATATAATATGTATAAATTATAATATCACAATCATATATATTTAGGTTTGTAAAACATACTTATCAACAATAACCATTATTGATGAATATATACGCCACTTTTTACAAACACCGAGCAACTAAAAAACGTATACTTTTCGGAGCTTGTGGCAAATAATTAACAGCAAAGGGGTAGTCAGTTTGCCAGAACCACAAATCATAAAATAGAAACATAGAACTACAAATAAATAGAAACACAGATCTTCAAATTTTCAAACTAAAATGCGCCTACGAGTCTGACATTGTCACAAATAATTAACAGGAAACACAGATAAAACACAGCCAAAAAACCACATTAATCCATACGTTCAAGTCAGTTCTTCCTACTACACTACTACCAAGTTCGACAGCCAGGCCACACTGATCGAAAGAGCATCAGATTAATAGCAACAATATCATATTAAGGACTCCTATAACAATCGAAGAGCCAAGAACACTCCTATAACAGCCATGCATCCGCCGGCAGCCAAGAACAATCGAAGAGCCAAGAACAATCGAAGACAACCAGATCTGGGACCAAAATTGCGTATCTCTTACCAGGCGTACAAAGGAGACTCTGAGCAGTGTGGATCTGGAGCAGATGCGATCCGGCGGCACCTCAAACGGACGGCGACGCTTGCAACCGAACAGGGGAAGAAGATCAACGGCGACGGTATTTGACGGATCTGAATGAACGACCAAGGTCTAGCCACTCCCACACAACAACCGCAACTGACGAGACGGCGGGACACGGCGGAGACACGGCGGGAGACGGCGACGCTGGAACAACTCAACGAACAGAGGAAAGAACTGATGAGACGCTGGAAGAACTGAACGACCGACCACACTTGAACCCGAACTGTTGAGACGGCGGGAGACGGCGGGCGCACGGCGAGTTGGCAGCAGACGTCGGGAGGAGTTTTTTTTAAGCTTCAGAGCGTGTTGTGGCTGAGTGCGTGTGTGCGTCTTTTTTTTTGTCTTTGAGCTGAGTGAGGTCAGAGAAAATACATGCAGAGAGGGTCAGTTAGGTAAAACAATTAAACACACTCCAACGGTTTCCTCACCCCAGCTGCACGTCCGAAAAAAAAGCTCAAAATATGAGCTTCTCTCAGAAGCCCATTTAAACCACAAAAGTTAGATTGGGCAATCGGGCATCCAAACACTCAAAAATGTCAGCCACCCCACAAGTCCGTTTGGGACGCACGTTTGGGCCCCCAAACGTGATTAAACACATCCAGAGGGCGTTTGAAAACAGTAATAAGCAACTGAAAAAATAATTTTACATAATTCAAGAGAGAACTTTATTGATATATTTATTTTATACTCTATAAAATAATATATGAAAAGCCAATCCAAATACTCATTTAATTTCATGCATGTGTACTTTTTATCAAATTTTATTATATATATTTCATGACTAAAATTTTGATCCGGACTATTTTAAAAAATTATGGTTAAAAGTTAAAAGTTAAAATTAAATTTAAGGTTTTGGATAATCTTTTATTCTCATAAGGAATTGTGTAATCTCACGAAATGAAATATTTTTGCATTTAAATAAAATAAAATAAAAATATGATAAGATGATGTATATTATGGATCTATGATAACATGGCGTAAATTTTGTTTATTTTATATAAATTTCAAAATTAATTTTATTTTTTCAGATTATATAATTCTTTATGAGGATGAAAATTTATTTACAAACTGTAATTATTCATAAGGATTAAATAAAAAATAAGTATCAAATATTCTTTTTCTTGATAACTAAATATGAAATATTCTGAATATAAGCAAATTAAATTTATTTATTTTAACTCAAATTACATTTATTAAAAAAATTATATATCCTAGAAAAGCGGAATATTTCTGTGACGTGGACATTTATTGTGAAGGCAAGAATCTCCAGATTTTTTCCTGCGGCATCAAATCTCGAAATTAATTATGTCCTTCCATCACAGTTATTAAGATCTCCGAGCTCTAAGCACCGTCACTTTCGCATCAGCAACTCAAATTCTAACCATTTACCATTGTGATTTATGAACAATGCTCACTCCATCTCTACCCAGTAGTACTCTACATTGATATTAATATATTCAAGATTTCTTTTTTAATTAAAAAATGTCACATTATAAAATTTATTTCTTAAATGTACTTAAAATTTATTTTAAAAACTCAAGCGCAACCTATGTTCGATGGATACAACTTTTATTTAATTGTAACATATTTTTAGTTACGTAGGCCCTGAATTGTTATATAAGAACTAGCGGGACATTTAATTTGTTTTTAAATATAAAATCTTAATTCACATTATCTCTTATATTTATTTATTTTTCTAAGGTAGTTGTTATAGTGGTAGCACACATTAAATGCTTTATCAAACGATAGTTCTAACTAATATACTCTTCCGATTTTTAATATAAAACTCATTTAACTAATTTGATTAGATTAAAGAAGTTAGATAAATTAGTTAATTATAAAAAAGTGACATATTTTTTCTAAAATACTATAATAATCTTTTTTAATTTCTCATCTCCCTCTTCTACTTGATTATGGTTGAGAGAGCATCTATAGGGGTAATTTAGATAAAATTAATAAATATAATAAATATGTTTTATATTTAGGATCAAAATCAACTCAAGAATTTAGTCCAAAGGAGTACATGATTAGTAAAAGTATTTTAAAAAAAACACATATTTATTATAAATAACTATCTTAAATAATTTTTTAATATACTTAAATTAGTTAACTAACTTTTATATTAAATACATGGGATAATATAGTAAAAATAATGTTATTTAAAAGTGTCAGTAAAAAGCTTTTTTTTAAAACCGAATTTAAGACATAATTTATCTTTTATCAAATTATAGTTATTGTTTTTTTTCCTTATCATCAAATTTATAGATATTCATATCATGATATGGATTGATATTAAGGATATGAAAAAGGAAAGAGAAAAACAAAAGAAAAACGGCTGGAGAGGAACCAGGTGTGGAGTAACTATAAGAGCATCCAGCTCTACTCTCTCTCTTCTTCCTCACTCTCCTTTTCTTCTCTCTCTCCCCTCCAACGGAGGCGGTACCACCGAGGAAAATCCTCCATTGCCACCCATGGAGGCGCCTCCTCCTCCTCCTCCGCTCACTGCGCCGCCCCTCTCCACTGTCGTCACGCCGACGATGCCTCCCTCTCACCTCAACTATGCTGATTCTGTTGATTCTTCTCCCCGTTCCCGCAACGCTGACTCCTGGGATGACCCTTTCCCTACTGCCGCTGCCTCCTCCAAGCTCCGCCTCATGTGCAGCTACGGCGGTCACATCGTCCCTCGCCCTCACGACAAGTCTCTGTGTTATGTCGGCGGCGATACTCGTATCGTCGTCGTTGACCGGAACACCTCTCTCTCCGACTTGTCTTCGCGCCTCTCTAAAACCTTCCTTGATGGCCGTCCCTTCACTTTCAAATACCAGCTTCCCAGTGAAGACCTCGATTCCTTAATCTCTGTCACTACTGATGAAGATTTTGATAATATGATCGATGAGTATGATCGAACTGCTTCGAATTCGTCGGTTAAGCCCTCCAGAATCCGCCTCTTCTTGTTCCCGACGATGCCTGAATCGTCGCAATCGATTGGGCCTTTACTTGATAATTCGGCTAAGTCGGATGACTGGTTCCTGAACGCGCTAAACGGCACAGGAGTGCTTAATAGAGGATTTTCTGAGTCCGATTCGGTAAATTGCTTGCTGGGTCTCGATGATGAGGCTGGTGGGAATAACCTGGACTCGGTTTCTAGGGAAAATGAAGTTGCTCAACCATCTGGATCTTTCGGGAATGGCAAGAATGTGACGAAGCAAGGACAGGATGTTCACTCTGTGCCTGATTCCCCTATGCTGGAAACGACCTCGTCTTTTGGGTCTACTTCTTCGTCACCTTCGCTGGCGAATCTTCCGCCGATTCGGGTTCATGTGGTGGATGATAGTAGTGTTAGGATGCAAGATCAGAAGGTGGTCGGAATTGAGGATCAGTTTGCTCAAATGGGTATTAGTGGAGGTGGTGGGCAGAGGCAAGATGAAGGGTTTGTGGTTCTGTCGTCTCCTCCTCCGATGCCGGCGACCATCACAACTCCGATGGTTGTGCCGATTAGCTCCGCTGTTGTTTCTGCCGGGGAATACCAGAATCGGGTTTTCTCCGACGATGAGAGATCAGACCACGGAGTGCCTGTGGGTTATAGAAAACCTACGGCACAGCAGTTACAACCACAGCCTCAGGCTCAGCCTCAGAATCTGCCTCCTCAATTTCAACAGAAGTCAGCCGGCGTTGTTGATTTGCCTTCCCCAGATTCGGTTTCAAGGTATCTTCAAACTCCTCTAATTTTAGATTTTCCCCAGTGCTTATTTTGATTACATACTCGTGGTATTGTTTTTCTATATCGTTTGATTCTGGATATACAAGTGTGCGATGCCATACAAGTTAGCCTAGCTGGTACTTAATTAGGTGTTTGGTACTTGTTATAATTCTGCAGTGATGGTAGCATTTCAAATCCGTTGTCACGCCCAAGGCCTGTAATCTATCAAGAACCAGTTCAAATTCCTGCCGTGACTACAAGGGTTCCTAGTAATCCTGCTGATCCAGTAAAGCTTAATATGTCTGATCCTCAAACTCGGATCCAGATACAGCAACAGGTGCAGGACCCCGGATACGTATTGCAATCACAATTTGATCCGCAGCAACAACCTCAACAGCAGCAGAAGCAGCAATATATGCCCAATTCCCATTTCGTTCACCATGCTCCTGCTGGCGCTGTGCCAATCCCGGCATACTATCCTGTATATCCTTCCCAGCAACAATCTCATCCTCAGCATCACCCTCAGCTTGATCAGCAATACCCAGTTTACTACATGCCTGCAAGACAGGCCCAACCTTACAACTTACCGATGCAGCAGCAGCAGCAGCAGGCTAATATTGGTGAAGCCAACACAGCCATCCCTTCTAGTCGACCCCAAGCTCAGCCAAATCCGACGATGGCTCCATCATCTTTAGCTTACAATCCTGTAAGAAATGTTCCGATTCAGAAGGCTGAAATGGCTGCGGGCGCATACAGAACAAGTGCAGGCATCCCTCAATTAGTTCAAGTCCCTTCTACTCAGCCTCAGCATCAGCAACAATTTGTTGCTTACTCTCAGATTCATCATCCCTCTCAGACTGCTGCCCCCAATTCTGCTGTCCCAGCAAATTATGCTTATGACTATGCCAATCCTGCCCATGCTCAGTTATACTACACCCAACCTTTGGCTCCCACCATGCCTTCACAGTACCAAACCATGGCAGCTCCTGCTGTTGTGCTGCCAGAAGTTTCTTCTCAGCTTCCTTCTGACAGCATAAAGCAGCAGATAAGAACCTCACAGCCGATATAATATAAATCAGGTTCTTAACAGAAGAAACAATTTTGAAGAAATGGGGTTGGTTTCTCCCTTTAATTTTTATACTTCTTGATGTCTTGCTATGGTGCCTATTTGCGGTCTGTTATTGTGATTAGATAATAAGAAGAAACTCGTTTCCAACTTGTAATATTTCTTATTTCATAATTTACTGGAAATTAAAAGTGTTCCAAGAGGTTATACTGTAAAAGTTCAAGAATCCTTTGTGCTTCGAAGTGCATACTATCAATTCTTGAATGATTGACAAAATTGTAGGGCATTCTCTGATGGGTTGGATCTCTAGTTCATGCTTTTTGTGAAATTACTGACACTATTTCGGGCGCCGTAATGTAATTTTTTTCCCGCTGGTCCCGTCCAACGTTTTGTTTTGACCAGGAAGGACCACTGGGAAATAAAACGTTTTTCGTCGTTTTATTTGACCATTTTCTGAGAAATTGTGGGCATGGAACGGACGATGTGGTTTTGCTACACCTTACCTGACAAAACATTATTAAAAGTTTGGTGAGTCTTCGGATTCATCTTTGACTTGGCTGCATTTTGAAATTCGTTTGATCATTCATGCCAGCCTATTCTTCTACCATGTTACTCCGTAATTTTGTGAACCCTTACGTCGGCTTCTACAGCGCAGAATTTACCATTGCTGAAACACACACAGTAATATGAAATAAATATCTTCTAAGTACAAAGGAAAAGTTAAATACTGGACTCCCAACGTACTGTGGTCTGATTCTTCCTATATTGATAACGTAGAGTGGCATTTCATGATGAGATGTTGGAATAACTTATTGAAGAGTCATATGGGGTGAAGGCTCCAATGATGCTAAAGCAGAGGTTCATGTGAGGGGCAAATCACAGGCACAGTACTTTAGATTCGGTGCATCAAATTATCAGTTTAGTGGTTAATTTCTCATAAATTAACGTCTTTAGGTCAGATTTAAGGAGGGAACACTGAGCTGCTCATGAATCAGCAATTTGTGTTTTTATTTGCCACAGTCTACACTGTAATTGCTGTCATCGTCCTCAGTCAATTTGTCCCTTTCCCTCAATCACTTCCTTTTGGAAATTATTATCCTAAATAAGTATTTGCAGATTCCGTGCACTTGATTATGCAATATTTACTTTGTAATTTCAATACCTTTTAGAGCTTCATGTCATTCATGTGCATTTTCAATTAGTTTTTTTAAAATTATTTTTCTTATTTAAAAAGAGATTTTGTCGATGATTTTGATTTGGTCCTTAATGCAATACTTTATCTATTTTTGGATTTGTCCATCACATTAACTATTTTTCTTAAATTAATCTCACCCAATGAGTTAAATATTAAATGAGCATTGAATGATTTGGCCGAGGAAATAAAAGAGAATGAATGAAGTTGATGGGACGCTCTCCAATCTACAAATTTGATTCCATGCCTATTTTCTTGTCCATGTCTGCCTACAATATAGAGTATTTATTTAGTCTTCTTCAATGGGAAATGCTAGTTGAATCGGACCTCAAGAGCTCATTAAAATTGGAGTATGCTTCTAAATTGAAAAGAATATTCTCATATCGTTAGTAGAATTTAAACTTACAACGTTGTAATTTATAGTCAATTCCTTATCGATTAAATTAACTTTTGTTGGCTTTGTCGTTCTTTACGTTATGGACGCACTCATGGTATCCATAAAATACAGCTTCACATTTAAACAAAATTTAAAGAAATGCTATTTTTATCTTTTTCATATTTGCATGTGTTTTTATCTTTTTCCTATTTGTATTCATAAAATACAACTTCACATTTAAACACATGCAAATATAAAGGAATACGTTCCATTATTTATGTTATTTTTTTTTAAATTTTTTTTGGTGAGATTGACCTAATGACATAATGTTCTGGTAATTAAAAGTCCAATGATATAATTTAAACACTAGAACTTATTTAGCGAACAAAACTATGGCGCATAGGCGGAGTTCCAAATCGGATGGAGTAAAATTTAAAATCAATGGAAGATAAACTTACACCTTATCTCTTGAAAAAAATGAAAAAAGACATAAGATTCTGAAAGAGTGTTCAATGGTTCTCTTGTTTATTCTGAAGTTATTAAAATAATTACTAAAAATAAAAATTTAAAAAATATATTTGATAATGTGAAGGGTGGAAAAATTGTTTACTTTATTAACATAATCATCATTAATAGAAACATTATGTTCTCCATCACTTTTATAATTTTGTAGAATAAAAAATAATAAAAAGTTTTTTAATTTCAGAATAAATTCTATTCTTCTCAGAACGCGTAACAGAAATTTTTTTTCTCAAACAGTTCCTTGTTTATTTTCTTATTTTTAAAACAAAAAGCTGCTCTAAAAGACGAAATTAAATAGGCTCATAGTCTTTCTTTTTTTGGGATCACATGCTCAAATTCGGGAATCCACACGAAGTAGCCGGAACACGCCAAAATTCTAGCCGTCGGATATAAATCTCACTTTTTCACCTGACGCATAAATTCTGGACTTATGCAATGCTCATTACTTTTGAAAGACGTCTAAGACAATCACAAAAAATGGCTTGTTTGATTCCATTCTCATTTATACGTTCTTATAACAATTCTATTGAGTAATTTTTCTTATAAAACAAGTCAGAAAAACAGAAGAAGACTAGTTTGACATAACAGAACTAAATAAAACCTTATTTATAATAGGTTTATCGATCATGTCTCTTTCAGTTGTTAAGTCAAGCCAATGGATAAAATCATAATAGCCAGAGAAGACAAGCGTCTCAGAAAGGAGGAAGAAAACATGCACATCAAGAAATATATGAAAGGCATAAACTGAACCAAGAGAAAAGCTCAAGCCCAGATGTATTAGATGATATTTACAGCGAACAGAATTAAGGTATTTTGAGGGGGGGGTGACATATGGGATAATATATGGAATGAAAAGAATAAAGGAGGCGAAAATATGGGAAACCATTAAACACTGCATCACCAATTCCTCGTTAAACTTAATGGCAGCATCTTTACAGCTTGTCTTCTTGCCCTGGCTGCTCCCATAGAAGACGCAAATACTCTTCAACCTGGGCTGCCTCCTCACACCTTGCATCTGATGTAGATTTGAAGTCACTCATCTGCACAATTTCAAAATGCAAATAAAAACTAAATACTAAATAACATAACATAGTCAGAATTGAATAGGCAAAAGATTATAAGCTTTTCAAGAAAAAGGACCAAGTTCTAAGCTAATAGGAACTTTGCGTTGGTTTAACCAATAATCTTGAGTTTGAGTCCTGGATGTTGTGTTGAAAACTTGTGCAACCCTTGCATTTCTACCAGGCTCAACCTGAGTTAGTCTGAATCCAATATGGCTTTTGGATACTGGTGGTTTATGCAAAAAATTATAAGAACAAAGCTTCATTAATGAAGTTATTCAATCCATTTGAGGACCATGATACTGAAAAAAAACCGGGAAAAATAGGAATGATATAACTTCAAAACCTTTTTTTTTTTGGCCATCGAGGTAACTTCAATACTAAAGATGCCATGAAATAAGACTAAATGATAAAGGAGATGGTTTTAAACAATCTAGCCACTGGGGTACAGGGGCAGCACGTGCACAGCAGCATAACCATGAAATATTTTTAATAATTAACCTAACCATGGAAACTCAAAACCGCACAATAATGTACACAAACATCACGAGATAGTCGGGGAAAAATGGACACAAACATTTTAATCTTCGTACCCCCTGAAAATTTTTTTATGGAAAAACAAATTCATACAATCCAAGTAGTTCCCGAAGTTATTACCCATCAAACACAAACCAATCGATGTTGTATATACGATGGCTGCTTTTATTGAAAGATGTAGAAATGAAATTGTTTGCCACACTAAAATGTGAATATTAGCAACCATTGTTCTGTTCTTTCTATGACTGAATTCGTCTTATAAGTTTTATGTGATAAAAGAGAAGACATTTTAAAGGGATAAGATGGTGCATCTACAACTACCGTGCTCCACAATTTCACAATTGAAATAGCTTCCTCCTCGAATTTTTTTCCCCTAATCTCAACCTGCCTTCATCCCAAAAGTTAAGAACAGGACAATTCCCAGATGGGTCACATCATGACTGTTGATACCATCAAGTACTTTCACTTCTATGTGCACATGTAAGTAGCAACAACATCAAGTTGGCGTCCAAATATCCTAGTCTATATTTTTGTTAGTTTGGCA